ACAAACATGTCAGCATCAAGCCGTAGCCATGTCTAGAAACTGAACTAGCTCTCTTGTTTTAATCACCTTCTGCTCCTACATTAATGAAATGAATATTTTTACCCTTAAAATAAGATAATTAGATAACATGCACTTGAAATAAGACAATGCAATTGTGTTTTCTTATTTTAAGTGAACATTTTCTTGTTTCATTGGCAAAATGTCTGTTTTACCTTCTCAATCCAAGAACAAATGCACTTATTTTATGAAATAATCACTTATCTACATGTCGATTTTTTTTGCAGTGCAGGATGGGGTCCCAGCCAAACTGAGCACCAGGCCAGATGAAGCTGCCATGATTTGCAGAGAGTGTGCAATAACTAACAGCTTTATCATTAAAAATGGACAGGGTGTCTGCTTCGCATATAAAAACTGGTAGTTGGTTCTACAGGAGAGAAGCCTGATATCTTAAAGATCTGGCTCCCAATCTACCCTCAGAAACTTTAGGAACTACTAGTAAACTTCTAAAGGATATTTCCAATGTTTAAGTGTTCCAGGTTTGAAATAAGAACATCATATAAACCTGTTTATCTTTACCTGATGAAAAAAAGGCCAACGTTTTCTTTTTTTTTTACATTATCATCAGAGGCCAGTTTAATGCAATCCAGATTAATTGACTGACTAAGACACTTTTTCACATATTAGGTCAAAGACAATAAATTATATGTTGTCTGAATAAAAAAATAAATTTTAAGTCATCCAGGTTGAATATGTGTTCACAATATAACTGTAATCTAATGGCTTAGACTCATTAGTATTTATGGATAAATATAGTTATCATCAGCATTTTCATCTGTCATATCATCAGTAGAACAGTGGAAATTATTCCCATGCTGTCCGACAATACAAACCAAATCTATATACATCCTTATATAATAAAAAGAACTGGCCCTAGCACTGTACCCTGTGTTACTTCACAAGTCATCCTTGATGGCTAGATTTAAACCAGACAAGTGCTGTTGCAGCATGAACCTGAACTTTGTTTAGGTTCTACTTTTACCTCCAATGATGCCTCAACTGAAATAATTTTAAATAAAATCAATCCCATTTATAAGGAATCCCCTAAAGTCATTGCTATTCAAGGCTTTGGGAACAATTGGTTGAACAGAACTATGGCTGTGAGTGAGTTTGGCAACTGTGTCAAATAAAAAGCTAAGATTATTCTTATTGTTATATACCATATTAAGTAGGACATTTCTAGATGTGTAGAGCATCATTTTTTTTCAATCACATAGCTACAAAATGAAATAGGGAGCCAGCCCCTATGAATAAAATACAAAATTTCTGTGAGGAAGCAACCCTGTCAACAAAACCATCAGTTTATGAGGGGGAATAATTTAAATAGCTGCCCTCTGCTGTGTTTTTCTGTGATAGCAAGGAGATGGAAATGGAAACAGGAGGAGAACTCAGTTAAATTAAACTAAACTGTCAAAGGTATAGAGGAGGATGTTATTTTTCCGGGAGGATCATCAAAATAGGGGGTTCTCTTAAACGTCAATCATTCTGGTGATATGTTTCTACGCATGCGTGATTTCAGGCATATATGTGTGGTGAGCTACGGTTTCAGGTATGCTATTTGAAGAAATTTATTTCACAATTCTGCTTTTAATACGAGGAGAAATGGGCTCTTGCACATGCTTAATTGGCGTTCCCTCACGGGAGCAGGTACAGGGTTGTGCATGTGCATATTTTTTAAGTGGGCACGGCGGTTCTTCTCAAAGATTCTGGAGAATCCTCCCCTATACTTAATAAAAAATGGTCAGGTACTGGTATTTCTTATGAATCATAACCATTGTAAGTATAAATTGGCTTTGGACTAATCAATTAATCGATGAAAGACTTTTTTATAGTCTTCCTCGCAAGGAAGTTTAGAGAAATTTTAAGATTTTAATGTTTAAAAGGAGTTAATTCTATGGTGCTAGCATTAGTCACATGCTGTAGCCAAGTTTCTGTGAGACAAAATAATATACACTTGATCACCATAAAAGTCATTAACTAAAGGAAATCTTTGAAGAGAGATCATATATATAAAAAAAATGACATTTAAATATTTAGTTTTACTTCAGTTGAAGTAGTATTACAGTTATTGATGTACTTACTAACTCCTTTAGATTATTGACTCTGTTTTTTCCCCCAATACCTTCACTAATTATCATCCTTCCATCCTGTTGCATCTTTAGATCATAGATTTTCTCATCTAAAATGGATGAAAACTACCTGACACCTTTCATGGTAGAAGTGAGGTAACTGTTGGCGGTTAGATCTCATACAGTGATTCTGATAGGTAGTGTGCAAAGCAGGAAGCGCAGGCTTTAAGTGGTGACTGGATGAAGTACTGTGGAAGACAAGTGTAACATAGAATAGGCATATGTTTGGGTAGTTTGTTTAAAGATAGAGCTGTTGTATATAGTTACAGATATTTGTAGTTTAATACTTAATCATTCAACTTTAACCCTTTATAGGGCAAGAGGGCGTTTTTGATCACTTGCATACCCCTTACAAATGTAGCCCCACTTCCCTCAGTGAGATCTAAAGGAACAAGATCTATATCCAGCCATTCAGATGCTGCTACATGGTTGTACATCTTATTTATGCATTTGACCAATTATGAGCCCTTGGGTAATATATTACCTACTTTAAATTAAGTTGGAAAAAATGAGAAAGTTAAGTCAAGAAAAAAGGTAAAAAGCTAATAAAAAGTTAATAAGCCTAGATAACAATTATATTAGGTGTATAAAGTAAAAAATGTCAGTGCCAGTATCTAGATTAATGCCTCTAAGGTTACGTTGTACCAAGCCCAACAAGGCCTTGTTTTTGTTTTGAAAGCATGCTAATTGGAACAGACGAAGGGGTCCATCCATTTGGAACGGGGGTCGTTTTTAAAAAAAAAAAATCAAGGCCCTGATGGGCTACTGTATAAAACCTCAAACTCAACGCTATTCCTGACCTTTTGAATTGAAAAACCTTTCGGGATGGGAAGCGACACGTTTTCAAACTACAAAAACAAGTCCAGTAGATTTTTTTTTTTTTTTATTGAATCAGCAGCTTTCCTACATTTTTTTTTTAAATATTAAAAATCCATTTACCATAATAAAACCTATAAATTATAAATACAATATTTTGTCTTTTCGGGATGCTGAACTGGAACATTTTTAAATAAACTCCTGTAACGTTTAGTAAACTGCATAGGAATCCTGTTAACTGATTACCTTTGGAGTAAAAGCACCACCCTCTAAGAACACTTACAGTACATATCCTTACAACCACACATTGCAACGTGTTATATTAAACACAAACCAGAAAGATCACCCAGTAAAGCCTCTTCCTGCAAGGAAAGGTGGTAGCAGCGTCATGCTGTGGGCTGCTTTGGGTCTGCAGAATCAATGGAGGATGAATGTTGCATACACAGGGCCATCCTGGGAGGAAAACCTGTTAGAAGCGGCAAAAGACATCAAAACACCTTCAGCTGTCAGGGCAGTGATAGGTCGTTATACAAAGAAATGAGTCAGGGATCCAGAATAAAAATGCTCTTCATTTTTCACTTTTTAATAGTTAAAAGAAAAACAGGTATCATTTTCCTTTACAATGATGCACCGTTTGTCTACCACATTAAGTCTCAATAAAATGTATTGACGTTTGTGGCTGTAATGTGAAAAAAATCTATTAGAAAGGCAAAGAAGATATGAAATCTGAAAATGTTCTGCATCTTCACACAGGCGGTTCAAAGAGAGCAGAGCTATATTACCATGTTTGGTCACAGGAGGGAAAGGGGGTCATTTTAAACATACAACCTGCCCATCTGACTGCATCACAGTCAAGTTTCAAATTCAAAACAACCTCTAAATCAGCTGTAAACATGAAAATGTGAGCAAAGCTGTTATCAGTAGTTTATTGTATTTAAATCCGACACATTCAGAACTGCAAAAGCGGAAAAGAAATCTTAACTAGAAATGAAGGATTTCTCCACCTGCAATATTTTGCACTAGAATAAAGTTAAAGGGTAAGATTTTGATGGCGGCATGCTGCTCACAACTGCTGAAGCCAACAAGGACTGGAATGGTTTGGTTTAAATCGGGCCAATTCATGGATTCCCTGTTGGAAACCAAACAAGTCTGGTCATTTCTATGCTTTAACAAATTTTCCGTTACTCTGAATTGATCCTCACCCTTTATTCTCATTGACCAGCTGTGAAGAGTCTATGATAAGCAGCCAAAAAATGGGAATCCACTTCAAAACAATGAGTCAGAGCAAACAGTTCAGATTTACAGATTTTTCTTCATTGCTGGATCTTTTTTTTTTTTGAAAGTCCTTTGTTCAGTGACAGATTGTCCCAGGAACCTTGGATTTAGTGCAATAACACCAGACAAGGAAGACCAAAGTATATTTATCAAGGAGAGGAAAATAACAAAGCTACATAACGACTTAACTTTCCATTTCAGTGCAAGACAAAATAAATCAAGGAGTAATTAAATGTTTCTTCCCCACTTCCCTCCCTACTGAATGATAAACAGAAAATAAAAATCCATTCAAAGGGCCACAGAACTAATTTGGCCTGAAGCAGAAAAAAAAAAAAAACACTAAAATGATCAGTGAACGATCAGCATGTGAAAATACAAATGCATTAATAGAAAAATGTTCACAAATATTTACTCGACCGAACGCTGCAGGTACAAAACCGTTGGGAAACAAACTTTAGAGTCCAAGGACCATCTTAAGTTCTGCCACCAGGTGGAATAAGAAGTCCGACAGTAATTCAAGCCCCTGTGGAGCAACGATCTGGTAAACCAAGGATTAGACATTTTAATAACCGTTTATGTACCTTTTGTTTCGGACTGAAAGTTCCTTGGATGCATTTATTACCCATTTAAACAAACGGCAGGCACCTGTTATCTATTAAAAAAAAAATAAAACCCAAGAGAATCACAGCAAATAAAAATGTACAAAGCTCACAGCAGATCATCTTAGGTAGTCAAACAGTACGGAAAGAGTAAAGTCTGGACCTGAATAACATAAATCTTATGAATACTGTTAGATTTCTGTCTGCTATCTGCAGATTATAGTTCAAAAAGCAGCAGCTCTGTAAACCCCGAACCGCTTTGCACTTCAGTAAGACTTGAAGAGGTGAACTCGAAAGGCACCATCATGCTATTTTATCCTTAAACCAAGTTGAGAGAAAATAATTATACACAGAAAAGCAAAGCATATAATCAACTGATTTTGTTTGCTTTACATTTATTCAGTTTCTCCACATTCATGACAGGAAGGGAGGGAAGAGGGAGAAATGGTTTCGTTCATCCCAGTTTCGCAGTCAAGCAGGCAGGAGAAAAAAAAAGCTGGAATCAAAATATAAACAGCGAGCCACCATCATCGATCTGCTGATCCTCCGTCCCCAACTTGTTTGGTAAAAGGTCATGTCCAGGAGTTAACCTTTATTTACAAATGACAAAAAAAAAAAAGATTTGTTTGTCCATCCAGCAGTGACTGCAGGGTAGTTTTGGGTCAAAGATACAATAGTACATTGGTCACAGCAGCCAGGCTGTGAAACAGCTTTAACACAGGCCTCTTCAGCTGCGGTCCCAGCGAGGACGTCAATGGAACGACACAAAGGAACCCGTTAGTGCATATTGATGAGTGCATTATGCAATTTTGTAGCAGTGGTCTCTTTCTCAAAACAGGGGAAAGGTGAAAGGCAAACCAAATCCTGCATATCACTTTCCCCTCAATGACGGGCAGAAATCTACAATATAAAATGTGCAATTGAGGAATTTTATGAATTAATACCTCAGTTATGTCAAGGCTTATAATCTCTCTGAAACTGTTGGGCTGTTCTGCTGTAGATTAAAGTCTCATCAGTCCCTCCTAAATGTGGCAGACTAGTGCTGCTTAGGTTGCCTTCAATCACAAATTGACAAATTCAGGTTTGAACTCTTGAGATACCCAAAAAAAAAAGAGGAAAAAAAAAAGGATGCTCAGCTCACAACTAATAAGTGAACATTTTTGTTGTTTGCTTGTTTTGTCTATTTCACAGAGATGGTTGACAGGCTGTGTCACATTCCAAAGCAAGATGGAGAGGGGGGGGAGAAAAAAAAAAAGCCGGGAAAAAAAAAAAAAAATACACCACCAAATATATACTTTATACATGATGATTTCTTTTCATTAATGAGAACGGCTGAAGATGAAGAACACAATACTACTTCCACACTACAGGTGGTGCTCTTCTTAGCGGCGCTGTGGGGTGAAGCGGCTCTCCCCCTGCCCGCCGGAGCCTCTTCCTGGACCCATGCCGGGTTTGGGGGCCATTCCGCCTCGAGGTGGCGGTCCCCTCCCGTCGCGTTCACGCATCATCCCAGGGCCGACAATGCCTCGCGAACCGCCAGGGCCCCGGTCGCTGCGCCTCATGTCTCGGCGGTCATCCCCGCCTCGGGTCTCTCTCTCGCGCACAGCTCTGGTCTTCTTCTCCTCCACGTTCAGACGAACCTCGCCTCGGAACATGATGGGCTGCAGGAAAAGGAGCACAGACATTACATGAGAACTGGTCTGTCAGCAGTTAGCATTTGAGGAGAAAAATGAATAAATCTAATAAACTGGGTAAATGTTGAACAGATAATGCAAGCATTAGGCATCATGGAAGACGGCCTTTCAAACACTGAACAAAAAAATACAAAACAGACGATGATATGAGGGGAAAACTTATTTCAGCTACTTAAGTCACCACACCACCACCAAATGAAAGTGGGTAATGAAATGTTGATACATGCCCCTTCTACCTTGGCCCCCAGGATTCTCTGCACGGGATCAGAGTCGTCGAAGACCACAAATCCAAAATTGGGCAACTTTCCACCGACGCCCTTGGTGTTAATTCTCAGCTCCACCACGTTGCCATAAGCTGCAAGGAGAAACGACGGGTAAGTTTTACTTGAGAGGTAACCATTACAGACACCCAAGGATGACTGACGGGATCATGAATGTATTAATATTTTTAATAAAAAATGACCCTACTCATGAAGAACTCCTTGAGCTCGGCCTCATCGATGTCATGTGGGAGGTTGCCAACAAAAAGCTGGTGGCTGTCAGGGTACCGCACGATCCGTCTGCTGTCCATGTCACCAGATTCAGCGTCTCTTCCTCCTGCAGGTTACAACGGATGACGCATGAAGCCGGCAACATCCTCCCCCCCAAAAACAATTTTTTTTCGATACAAAGACAAGCCCTAGATTTATGTACCTTTGTTGACAAAACTTATGTGTGGTTTCCCCGTTTGTGACTCTGAAGACGGAACCCCTTCTGATCGTGACAGAGATGTGCAGGTAGTGAGAAAAAGAAGAACACCGTCCCAAGAGAAGAGGAAAACACTATGAAGTCAGAGGTGAGTCATTACCGGATCGGGGACCTCGCTGGGTGAAGGTCGGTCTATCACGGGTGCGCTGGTCTCTGGGGCGCAGAGGTGCCGCCTGCGTCTCCTGCTTTGCTTCAACTCGTGGCTAAATAAACAACATTCAATTAGAACCAACACACGCACAACATCTTTCATCATTCATTTAATTATCTTGAATTCACAGCATGTCATCCCAACAACTCTGAGCTCTACAACATGCTGGTTTGATTTTTATCTCCCTAAACTGTGTGATTAACGTAAGAGGGATTGTTTGAAGAGGCTTGTGTCTTTCATGGCATTTCCAGGTTTATTCTGTCAAAACATTATACTCCTGAAGCATAAAAAAAAACAACAAGCCTATAAAACAAAAATTAATCTCAACAAATATAATCCATATAGAGCTGAGGATAATAAAACCTCAATGTTATGGTTGCATAATGAAGTTGCACCATCACAGATGTGATCATCAGCACGATATTGAACACATGTCTAAAGAAGTTATCAGAGTAAGTGTATATATAATCTGCATAAATGGGAGATCATAATATTTCTGGAGATGGGGTGGGATATAATAAGGCTCATGTGACATTGCAAAGGTATGTGGTGAAAACATTAAAGTTTTGTTGTGTTTGACCGCTACAAGAGCAATGCACACTAAACATCCTGGTCCACAGCAATGTGTTCACAGGTCAGGACAGGTCTCATTAGCCCTTTAGAAAAGCCCCGGAAATTCAGAATTTTGAGTCAGAGAGTCAGTGCAAGAGAACCATGCCTGCTGAGCACCAACAATACATACAACTTTCCTCCTTTGCCTCGAGCAGTTTTAATAAATACATAGCATTAAGTCGGTCATTTGTAAACTAGTTTTAAGTTAAGACGTGTCAGTGCTGTTCATATCTTCAGGCCACGCAGCATCTGTAACCAAACTTTTAGAATCACCCCAGAGTGAAGCATGAAAGCCCCAAATCCACATAGCGTCAATATCCAGCCTAAAACTAACTTCATTGCTGCTCTCCAAGGCACAAGGATCAGTTCCCTCGTCCCCCTGGCATATGGAGCATTTTCCTCGGGGTGCACCTCTACATTTGTCAAATATTATATTTGTAAGACACAAACCATTATTATTATTATTTTTTTTTTTTATCGCATTAAACATTAAATTGAATTTATAGAAACACTGTCCAGGAGTGATAAACATTTTAGATCAGTCTGAAATGATAAATGCAGAAGTGCTTCATAGGTTCTGAGTTGAACACTGCACCGTACTCCTCTACTGAGGCCCATTTAAACAGTTTAACAGAAACAACACATCCAGCTTAACAATCTGAACACAACAGAAGTTTACCTGTGAGCTTGGGGCTTTAACAACATGAGGAGAGAGTCCAGAGGAGGTGACTGTGCCAGAAGGAGGCAGGTTTTTACTGGTCACCAAAGCCCAGGAGAAAGGCTGGAATGAATGCAATGATGCATTGTTAAAACCAACTACGCTCCAGGATAAAACTGGTGGACCTTCCAGCACAGATATCATCACAACAGATTCACTCCATTTTAATCATTGGTGGGACAACATTACAGGGAATAAAAAATATTTAATAAAATCTGATTGGCTGTGAATCTACCAATTAGACAGATGAGGAGAGCACACTTGTCCTACCTTAGCAGGCTCCTGGGTGTTTGGTGGAGACTCTACAGGCGTCGGAGACGGCGCCTTCTCCTCCAGCTCTTCCAAAACCTTTTCCTCCACCTCAGGTTTAACCTCCTCGGCCTTTGGCTCCTGCTCAGGTTCTGGTTCCGGTTCTGGGGCTGGTTCCTCCATAGGCTCCTCTACACCATTCCTAAAAAGCAAAATTCAGGTAGATGTATAAAGACACACCGATTTAAAAAAAAACGAAAAAAATGTTAAGAACTAAGGCAGAGTTCCCGCTCAGCCCCCATAGGGTGGTGTGTCCTTTAAATTCCATGTGGAAACATGATCAAATACACTCACTGGGTACCTTATTAGTAGTGATGGGTCCAGTAACAAAGATGCGGCGGTGCGTGCAGAGCAAAACACTATCGATGCGCGTGTCGTTTCTAGAGAGTAATGTGACCAACACAGAGTTGTTTCTAACTGACTGACTCACTAAACTGGGTTTAAAAACGTATGTCAACATGATGCATGTGCTAACCAAAAAAAGTCTCATCTTTTTGTTGTTTATCATTAAAATGTTCAATACTTTTGTAGCAACCTAAAAGGAACAGGAACGTTTCGGCGTTTTTATTTTAATTTTCTCGTTGTGTCATCCTTTTCCTCTGTTATCACTCAACTTATCTGAATTAAAGTTACTCTAGTTTAATATTTTTCCCATTTACCATACTTACTAAAAATATAATTTAAAATCCTAGTCCAAAAAAAATCCTTATTCATATTTCCCCTATATTTTCATGTCATGATATATGTTTATATTATTTTTTGGCTGCATCTAAAAATATCAGATATTTTCGATTTAAACATAAATATGAAATAATACAATATAACAAACAATAACCTAAATTATATCATTGTACTTGGTCATCAAATCATTCAGTTTAGTCTGTCAAATCAGCTGCCTGTTATGTCTTTGAAGGTCCAGCAGGTGTCAGTATTCTGAGAGACAGAATCAATTCAGGATCAATACAGTTTGGCAACGTGTCGAAATGCATCAAGAATCCTCATTAACCCATCACTACTTATTAGGCATCTGAACCCATATCAGCATGATGGCATCATGGTAACTGCACATCCATCATGCTCTCGGCTCATCAAACGGAAAGTGATTGAGAGCTGGTGATCGGTGGAGCACAGAGAACCGGTCACATTCAACTCCATCTTGAAACTATTGGATCTGTGTGACATGTTGCAGTTGACCTCATCATGAGAAGACAGGTACACTCTAGTCATTAAGAAACACATTCCACCAATGATATAATAAAGTTTGGATGCACAAAGTCATGCTGTTTTAGCCAAACAGACAGTAGCCTCTGACACTATGACTCATCCACCTAAAACAAAAAAAAAAANAAAAAAAAAAAAAATACACCACCAAATATATACTTTATACATGATGATTTCTTTTCATTAATGAGAACGGCTGAAGATGAAGAACACAATACTACTTCCACACTACAGGTGGTGCTCTTCTTAGCGGCGCTGTGGGGTGAAGCGGCTCTCCCCCTGCCCGCCGGAGCCTCTTCCTGGACCCATGCCGGGTTTGGGGGCCATTCCGCCTCGAGGTGGCGGTCCCCTCCCGTCGCGTTCACGCATCATCCCAGGGCCGACAATGCCTCGCGAACCGCCAGGGCCCCGGTCGCTGCGCCTCATGTCTCGGCGGTCATCCCCGCCTCGGGTCTCTCTCTCGCGCACAGCTCTGGTCTTCTTCTCCTCCACGTTCAGACGAACCTCGCCTCGGAACATGATGGGCTGCAGGAAAAGGAGCACAGACATTACATGAGAACTGGTCTGTCAGCAGTTAGCATTTGAGGAGAAAAATGAATAAATCTAATAAACTGGGTAAATGTTGAACAGATAATGCAAGCATTAGGCATCATGGAAGACGGCCTTTCAAACACTGAACAAAAAAATACAAAACAGACGATGATATGAGGGGAAAACTTATTTCAGCTACTTAAGTCACCACACCACCACCAAATGAAAGTGGGTAATGAAATGTTGATACATGCCCCTTCTACCTTGGCCCCCAGGATTCTCTGCACGGGATCAGAGTCGTCGAAGACCACAAATCCAAAATTGGGCAACTTTCCACCGACACCCTTGGTGTTAATTCTCAGCTCCACCACGTTGCCATAAGCTGCAAGGAGAAACGACGGGTAAGTTTTACTTGAGAGGTAACCATTACAGACACCCAAGGATGACTGACGGGATCATGAATGTATTAATATTTTTAATAAAAAATGACCCTACTCATGAAGAACTCCTTGAGCTCGGCCTCATCGATGTCATGTGGGAGGTTGCCAACAAAAAGCTGGTGGCTGTCAGGGTACCGCACGATCCGTCTGCTGTCCATGTCACCAGATTCAGCGTCTCTTCCTCCTGCAGGTTACAACGGATGACGCATGAAGCCGGCAACATCCTCCCCCCCAAAAACAATTTTTTTTCGATACAAAGACAAGCCCTAGATTTATGTACCTTTGTTGACAAAACTTATGTGTGGTTTCCCCGTTTGTGACTCTGAAGACGGAACCCCTTCTGATCGTGACAGAGATGTGCAGGTAGTGAGAAAAAGAAGAACACCGTCCCAAGAGAAGAGGAAAACACTATGAAGTCAGAGGTGAGTCATTACCGGATCGGGGACCTCGCTGGGTGAAGGTCGGTCTATCACGGGTGCGCTGGTCTCTGGGGCGCAGAGGTGCCGCCTGCGTCTCCTGCTTTGCTTCAACTCGTGGCTAAATAAACAACATTCAATTAGAACCAACACACGCACAACATCTTTCATCATTCATTTAATTATCATCTTGAATTCACAGCATGTCATCCCAACAACTCTGAGCTCTACAACATGCTGGTTTGATTTTTATCTCCCTAAACTGTGTGATTAACGTAAGAGGGATTGTTTGAAGAGGCTTGTGTCTTTCATGGCATTTCCAGGTCTATTCTGTCAAAACATTATACTCCTGAAGCATAAAAAAAAACAACAAGCCTATAAAACAAAAATTAATCTCAACAAATATAATCCATATAGAGCTGAGGATAATAAAACCTCAATGTAATGGTTGCATATTGAAGTTGCACCATCACAGATGTGATCATCAGCACGATATTGAACACATGTCTAAAGAAGTTATCAGAGTAAGTGTATATATAATCTGCATAAATGGGAGATCATATTTCTGGAGATGGGGTGGGATATAATAAGGCTCATGTGACATTGCAAAGGTATGTGGTGAAAACATTAAAGTTTTGTTGTGTTTGACCGCTACAAGAGCAATGCACACTAAACATCCTGGTCCACAGCGACGTGTTCACAGGTCAGGACAGGTCTCATTAGCCCTTTAGAAAAGCCCCGGAAATTCAGAATTTTGAGTCAGAGAGTCAGTGCAAGAGAACCATGCCTGCTGAGCACCAACAATACATACAACTTTCCTCCTTTGCCTCGAGCAGTTTTAATAAATACATAGCATTAAGTCGGTCATTTGTAAACTAGTTTTAAGTTAAGACGTGTCAGTGCTGTTCATATGTTCAGGCCACGCAGCATCTGTAACCAAACTTTTAGAATCACCCCAGAGTGAAGCATGAAAGCCCCAAATCCACATAGCGTCAATATCCAGCCTAAAACTAACTTCATTGCTGCTCTCCAAGGCACAAGGATCAGTTCCCTCGTCCCCCTGGCATATGGAGCATTTTCCTCGGGGTGCACCTCTACATTTGTCAAATATTATATTTGTAAGACACAAACCATTATTATTATTATTTTTTTTTTTTATCGCATTAAACATTAAATTGAATTTATAGAAACACTGTCCAGGACAAACATTTTAGATCAGTCTGAAATGATAAATGCAGAAGTGCTTCATAGGTTCTGAGTTGAACACTGCACCGTACTCCTCTACTGAGGCCCATTTAAACAGTTTAACAGAAACAACACATCCAGCTTAACAATCTGAACACAACAGAAGTTTACCTGTGAGCTTGGGGCTTTAACAACATGAGGAGAGAGTCCAGAGGAGGTGACTGTGCCAGAAGGAGGCAGGTTTTTACTGGTCACCAAAGCCCAGGAGAAAGGCTGGAATGAATGCAATGATGCATTGTTAAAACCAACTACGCTCCAGGATAAAACTGGTGGACCTTCCAGCACAGATATCATCACAACAGATTCACTCCATTTTAATCATTGGTGGGACAACATTACAGGGAATAAAAAATATTTAATAAAATCTGATTGGCTGTGAATCTACCAATTAGACAGATGAGGAGAGCACACTTGTCCTACCTTAGCAGGCTCCTGGGTGTTTGGTGGAGACTCTACAGGCGTCGGAGACGGCGCCTTCTCCTCCAGCTCTTCCAAAACCTTTTCCTCCACCTCAGGTTTAACCTCCTCGGCCTTTGGCTCCTGCTCAGGTTCTGGTTCCGGTTCTGGGGCTGGTTCCTCCATAGGCTCCTCTACACCATTCCTAAAAAGCAAAATTCAGGTAGATGTATAAAGACACACCGATTTAAAAAAAAACGAAAAAAATGTTAAGAACTAAGGCAGAGTTCCCGCTCAGCCCCCATAGGGTGGTGTGTCCTTTAAATTCCATGTGGAAACATGATCAAATACACTCACTGGGTACCTTATTAGTAGTGATGGGTCCAGTAACAAAGATGCGGCGGTGCGTGCAGAGCAAAACACTATCGATGCGCGTGTCGTTTCTAGAGAGTAATGTGACCAACACAGAGTTGTTTCTAACTGACTGACTCACTAAACTGGGTTTAAAAACGTATGTCAACATGATGCATGTGCTAACCAAAAAAAGTCTCATCTTTTTGTTGTTTATCATTAAAATGTTCAATACTTTTGTAGCAACCTAAAAGGAACAGGAACGTTTCGGCGTTTTTATTTTAATTTTCTCGTTGTGTCATCCTTTTCCTCTGTTATCACTCAACTTATCTGAATTAAAGTTACTCTAGTTTAATATTTTTCCCATTTACCATACTTACTAAAAATATAATTTAAAATCCTAGTCCAAAAAAAATCCTTATTCATATTTCCCCTATATTTTCATGTCATGATATATGTTTATATTATTTTTTGGCTGCATCTAAAAATATCAGATATTTTCGATTTAAACATAAATATGAAATAATACAATATAACAAACAATAACCTAAATTATATCATTGTACTTGGTCATCAAATCATTCAGTTTAGTCTGTCAAATCAGCTGCCTGTTATGTCTTTGAAGGTCCAGCAGGTGTCAGTATTCTGAGAGACAGAATCAATTCAGGATCAATACAGTTTGGCAACGTGTCGAAATGCATCAAGAATCCTCATTAACCCATCACTACTTATTAGGCATCTGAACCCATATCAGCATGATGGCATCATGGTAACTGCACATCCATCATGCTCTCGGCTCATCAAACGGAAAGTGATTGAGAGCTGGTGATCGGTGGAGCACAGAGAACCGGTCACATTCAACTCCATCTTGAAACTATTGGATCTGTGTGACATGTTGCAGTTGACCTCATCATGAGAAGACAGGTACACTCTAGTCATTAAGAAACACATTCCACCAATGATATAATATAGTATGGATGCACAAAGTCATGCTGTTTTAGCCAAACAGACAGTAGCCTCTGACACTATGACTCATCCACCTAAAACAAAAAAAAAAAACATGTTCTGATTCAATTGTTGTGGGATTGAACTTATTTCAGCCTCAGCTTCCTGTTCCTATCTGACAGCAAGAATCAGTCACTGCCACGCTGCTACATCCAGACCAACCTCATAGCCTGAATTACTATGCTTTGGCTGTAACAATTCTTTATTCAAGCTACCGTTGCTTTTTTTGTATATGCTCTTGAAACACCAAGAACAATAAGGCTACCTTGAAAAGTAGAGATTGACTGATGTAAGTTTTTAAGACTGATGCTGATTATTTGACAGTCTAACTGATCCCTGGTAGGTCTTGCTGAGTGGCCTGATTCTTTCAGCTTTTATTAAATTTTTTGCGACATTTACAAAATTAAAAACGAAAACTATTACACGTCTCAAACAAAAATAAGAGAAACATTTAGTTGAAAAAAATGCAACATTAGCAATGGATAGCCAATGGAGGAGGTAGGAATACACAAAACGGACACAATCTCCAGGCATGCCTGCAGCATGCATTAATGACTGCCAGTGTAAACAGCATTTCAGTAGGTACCAATGGAAGGGCAAAAATGTAAATATCTGTCATCTCTACAAAGTCCCTTAACTCTTATTTCTCCCTGGTTCTGATGCGCGGTTTGAACTAGAAAAGTTGTCTTCATCACATCCAGATGTTTGGAGCTGTTAGGTGTTTAGTTGTATAAAACTGTCCCACTGTTAAATAGTACAGACTGTGCTTTACAAGCTTTATCACTAATGGCAGTGAAATAAGTTTAAACAGAGAAAAAAAATTTCCAATATTTAACGTCTTTAATCTATTCATTTATTTACCTTAACTCCTTTTAAATGCAGAGGCACCAAAGACGCCATTCTTTAAAGTAATAATAATGAGAGAAAGAATTTGACAGTCACTTCTCTACAGTTTTCTTATTTTAGAAGATTCAGATCGTGTGTATTTTGTAGATATGAAGCAGATGGTTTGCTGCTGCTTTCTAATGTGTGTCTGATTATTGTGACATTTAACACATGCAGGCATCTTTTAAGTATTCATCTACTGGAGAATGTCTGTCATGGAGTTTTCAGCTCCATAACAAGGTTAAAATGTTTTACACATCGCTGTAAGCTCTACACAGTAGTTGGGTAAAAAACAATGGCCGCACATTTTCTATCATTGCCCGCTTATCTATGAGGCCATACTTTGACTGCTTCCTTCTGATTTGTTGCCCTAAATAAGTCACTGAAGGTTATTCTCGTCATCAAGAGACATTTCTATGAATTTCTGTAGCTCAAGGCCAAACTGACCGAATCCAATTGTAGAATTAAAAAAAAAAAAAGTTGAAAAATGTAACTCAATAAGCCATTCCTATTGAGCATTTTTTTAAGTTGTTCTGTCTGGAGAGGGAATAATTTTTGTAAATGTTTCCAGGGAATGTTTGATTATTCTTATTTTGATTACATTAAATTTCCACTTCTGTCTTAATTTGGGTTCCGCTTTGGTTGTAATGAACGATTGGCAGACTCTACTGGAAGACGTCCCAATGTAAGGCTTCTTTAAGTCATCTTAAATGAAGAGGAATGTGTGTGATCAATTACATTTCACTATGTTAGATTAAAAAAAAAAAAAATCACATTGATATATAATATAATAAAGTTGATTACATTTAGATTCTGTATAACGGGACAATAAGTTGACTGTTTTTTTTTTTAATACCTTGAACTGGTTCTAAACGATATGATAAATTCTAAAATGAAAAAAAAAAAAAAAATGGCACAGAACAGGGGAATACAACAGAGCTGGTCTGTGTTAGCCAGATAGGAAAGTCTCTTTACGCTCCAGGACAGGGGTAACCAATTAACAATCAGCGTGGTCCGAATAAAGAAAAACAACCAGTAAAGGTTCGGGGACATTTTTAGTCATAATCCGTTACTTTAAACAGAATTTAACACTTAAATAAAACGTAGGTATTTATGCATCCATGTTATACATTGAATGTTTAAATAAAAATTATTAATAGAATGCTTTTCCATTTTAAAATCTAAATGTTTTTTGAAGCAGAGAATAATGTTTTGTTTGGTATATAGAANCGGACCCTGGTCCGCTAATCTGCTGCTCTAGATGATATAGAGGGTTACCTTGGTTAACCGTTACTGGTTTGGTTTATATTGCACTTTTGGAGCCAATTGAATAAATAATGTTTCCTTAAGCAACTTTAGATTTAAGATTAAGAATTCCTTACGCGACAGGGTGAGTTTCATAGTAGGATGTGCTGTTAGGGCTTTCCTGAAGCGGTTCGGGGGATGGCTGCCTCTCCTCAGGCTCCTCCTCAACCTCTTCCTCAGACTCTAGAAAAGTTGAAGTAAATGAATTGTAAAGAAATTGCTAAGGTGAAAGTTGCTTTTCAGTTCAAAAATAAGTTTTAAAGATCAACGTACCTTCCTCAAGCTCAGCCTCGGAGTCTCCAAACACTTCATCCTCATAACAGAAGATGTCGTTGTGGACGTAGAACTTGTTTGCCACTGATCCCTGGCAACAAATTAAAACATTTTCCCTCATAGGTTCATGTCAAAGTTCGACCAGGACAACAACTAGGCAAATTCTGACATAACTCATGGAAATAATTGCTTAATAAAACTCTTTGACCATGTAAATGTGGAGTGTGATGAAGGTACTCACTTCTGGAGCAAGCACGAATGTTTGCATGAATTTCCTCATTGGTTGGCCATTGTTAGACAGCTCTCCCAGGACCTGAACCACAACTCCATCACTCAGTGTGGCGTGAGCGTCAACGTGCCTGATTTTTGTGTGGCACTCGCTGAACTGCAATGACATGACTTTCTTGTGGATTTCCTAAAAGATAAGAAAATGCAGACGAAAATGAGTAGATGGAAAAAAGTTGATAGAAAAAATGTGGTCAGATTAGGTAAACTTATCCAAATCAACCATCTTATACAAATCTCTCCCAAAAGATTTAAAGGGTAGCTTAATCCAACCTCAAATGAATGTTTAAGATTAAAACATTTTTTTTCTTCAATTAAAGATCTTGAAACAGCTAAAGATGATTCAATTAGACTTGAAAGCTTCATGCTTTTGACTCAGAGCATTCCATCAACACTGGTTTATCTAATAGTCATGACTTTTTGGGAAAATGTTAGTAATAAAAAAATAAGAATTATGGATAAACAGTGTACTTTCAGGATAAATCACCAATGAACTGTGGGACCTACCGCTTGTCCATACACAGCTTCTGCCAGCTTCCCACTTGGGTCAATTCCTCCATGAACATAAGAAGAATTCCTCCCATAAAACCTAATGACAAAAAAAAAACTGTCAAAAGTCATTCCAACACTTTAAGAGGCTAGGAAAGTGTCATTAATTACCTGTGCAGATAATCGGGTGCCTTGTTCAAGAGTGTGTAATACTGCCTCACGAACTCCCGCCCTACAAGCAGGGGACTTGGCTTCTCCATCACCATTTCTTTGGTAAACAATATTAAGTGCTGAAACAGAAGATAGACAGTGGCTTAAACAATAATAATGGTGCAACCAACAGTCATACATTTGCTGTTTTGATCTTGAAATATAATGTGTGCCAAAATATTTTTCATGTGTCATGCAGTTAATTCTTGATGTAAACTTCTGTCAGTCTAGATAAAGCCCTCTCCCTGATATCCATGATGAGTAGCATTTAGTGATCAAGTTAGAAGAATGGTAGCAACAACATTACAAGAAAATTTAGGAAAATCCAAGCAAATTTCAACATATAGTTATCAAAATAATGAATGTTGAGATATGGAGTTTTTCTAATATGATGCAGCCCTACTAAGGTGGAAGATACAATCTTAGAAAAATCAGAAGTAACCAGTTGCCAGCTTTAAACCAACACTTAAATTTTTGATGTACAGAACAAACCAACAATGAAATTTGGAAATGGTGATGCTCCAATGGGAAGCTGGTTAATGAACTGAGCAATTTGGAAAACCCAAGTTACGGATGGCCATTAAATTCTGTTTCATGGATAGGGGTGTAAATCACACCCATCATGCCAATTCGATTCAGTATCAATTTCCTGACCCATGATTAGATTATTTTCAATACTTAAGAACACACCACAATACGATAATTTTTTTTTTTTAACTTTACAGGGTAGACAATGTTTCAAATTTTAAGTAAATCAATGAAAGCTGCAATATCGTTATCCATTTTATTTGAGAAACAGCAAATAACAGAAGTAGCAAAGTTGTACTCCAACTATGCCTATGAAAACTTCATTCACTGAAAAATAATGCCTCTGTGTTTATGCAATTGCTTGTGTGCAAGCGGAAAGAGGGCAGTGGCTAAAGGAAGCGAGGTAGGAGGGCAAAATAGGTTTAGCGCCACCGCAGCACGGGAGTCAGAATTACGTCCAGGAGCAAATGGATCGGATTGTCGGCTGTTGGATCAATGCAACGATACAAAAAAACTATTATTTACACCCCCTATTAGTGGCATATAATTATTTAAGCTTATTTAATATTCAGGTGAGGAGGAAGCATTTGCCAGCAGGGCCAGCCATGCTGGATGTGTCCAGATAACCCCCTTTAAAGAGGTTTTGCTCCTTATTTCTAAATTTCATATAAACTATTCCTAGATCTGATGTATACCGAAATAGTGCACGCATGTGCGCCTACATATATATTTATTAACCACAAGCAGTTCAGTATGATGTTTCTGCTTACATTATGAACAGTCTGCTCTGCCACAACTAACAGGGGCACATTCTCAGCTAGTACTGGAAGTACAAGATCAGGTATTCAAGACATTTCCCTTTAACAAAACAGGTTATTTCCTCCCCTTTTTTTTAGTGACTCAATCCAGAGAATTGCCACAGTGGCCATTAATAAGAGGCCCCGAAATTTGAGAATGGACTAATAATAATAATGTCCATTGTCAGCCACTCACTGTAACTTAGAACATGTTTGAATTACTTGTTCTACAAAATTGATGGCTTTCAAAGAAAGGCTGTCATCTCCAAAGACCTAATTCAAAAGCTACGTAGTAAGAATCTTAAGAACAAGTCTATGTAGAGTTTAGATAACAATCGAGCCACAACTTCCGAGAACCTTATATATGATAGTCTTGGCTTCATAATTAAAGCTGCATTACCTGGACTGGAAGTTTACGATTTTAACTATAACGAAAACATCGGTGAACATCAGTCAGAGATCATCCAAATTGATGGGTCCCGTAAACGTGTTTTTTCCCCCCATTAAACGGCTAACACGCTAACCATCACTGAACTGCGCCATCAGATTGCTAGAAGACAAAGAGAGGAAACCGGCTACAGAGGAGAAGGGGAAGCGACCTTCGTTGTCTTTCATGTTCGGAAATGGATGAAACAGCATAATACTCTGCATAAACATCGCTTTTGGAGTAGTTTCGCATCCCCGAGTAGAATTTCTGTATACAAATAATTGGCCTGGTGCCCGCGGCCTTTCATGCATTAGCTTAAAACACAATCTGGCACATTTGTAGCATGTTCACAGGCTGCATGATGTGACGGATTTACGTTTCACACGAGTATCCCCAGGTGGAAGGTTTACAGGTACAGGGTGCCAACACTAAGCAGCAACCCTACATTATCTAGACCGTATAAAACGGGACTTTAAGTGCTAATAAGTCGGCCTTTTCACTGCTACAACAGCAGCTCTGATGCTGCTACTTGACAAGCTAACGCTGGCCAACTTGTGGCGTCGTTGCATTTCCTCCACTGCTGTGTTTTTTTGTTAAGTAGGAAGAAGTGTTTTATCCCGACAAACACTACAGAAATACAGAATACCGCCAACAACTGGCGTCAAATACGAGTTTTTAAAGGAAAAGCCACAATGGAACAATATGTACGCTATCTTGCTAGCATACAACAAAGGAAGGGAAATAGACAAAGTCCCACAAAACTCAAAATGCCTATTTTAATAAATAATAATGCTTTTAATGCGGATGGCAACACAATGACATTCACACTTGACACAATAACTGTTAATAATCGACCAGTTGTGATTTGGGCTAGACAATGCAGCTAACATTAAGCTAGTTAACACGGCTAACTCGCCGGCTCGTCTCGGAGGAGAGCTCACTTACCTTTTGAGGGACCTATCTATGCAGACAGAATAAGGTGTAATAAATAAGTACAAGTAACAGGCTCGAAACTGCTGTGAAACACGACGTATCCCAGGCGAAATAGTCGATATTTCCCACACTGCCCTTCGAACACCAGTGTGGTCTCTGCTGAACCACAGATTGCAGATTTTTAAAGTGATACGTTCAGTTTATTTTTTCACCCCTGCTGCCTCGTCAAGGGAACCCCGTGCAATTATTCGGCCAATGGGCTGCTTACACTAGGTGATATAATTTGTGACGGCGGAGGATTAGCCACGCCCATTTCAAACTTTCTGCAGGAAAGCTTCATCTCACCTCCTGCTGCAGATTCTGTTGTTGGTTGAACATAAAAATGGGCCCTGTTGTAAAAAGCAGATCAACAGTTTCCAAGAGTCACACAGGACCCGAGAGTTCAAAAGCAACGGTGATAAAGGGAAATGTAACTTTTTATACACATAAAAAAATATGTTTTTGTTGTTACATTAGAATATTTTCGATTCTGTATTTATGCTGCTATAGGCTTCTGGAGGACACAGGGACCCCTAATTTCTGCTGCGCTCTATCTCTGTTCTCCCACTCTGCAGAATGTGTCAGAATCAATCTCTAAGGTTATGCTCTCTCTGCTTTTTCTCATAGTAGCTTCGCCTTGTCTGATCCTGGAGGTCACCCTTACCCATCCTGGAGAGGAATATCAGCTTTGCTCTGCCATCATCACCTTTGTTTATAGATGTTCGAGATCAGCAAGTTTATCCAGTGTAGTCCTGTTTCTCTGACTGTGACTGGCTAGATGTGCTCTCTTCATCCTCTGACATCGGAGCTGGCTTGGAGCTCTTCTGCCTGGCTGTGTGTTTCCTGGACCGAGCTGCCTTTTACAGCTGCTTTTTCTATCTCTGCTTCTGTCTCCTCGAACCCCAGTCGGCCTCTGCAGATGGCCGCTCACACTGAGCCTGGTTCTGCTGGAGATTTCTTCCTGTTAAAAGGGAGTTTTTCCTCTCCACTGTCGCTACAAGCATGCTTAGTGTAAGGGATTGCATTCGAGTCAATGAGTCGATGGTTTTCCTGAGATAGAAAACTTTGAATCAGTTTAACTGTATGATCTGGTGAACTGTAAAGTGCCTTGAGATGACATGTGTTGTGAAAATAAAGTGCTATAAAAATAAAGTGAATTAAATTGAATTATATTATACAAGTACTCTATACACTGTTTAAGTGAGCTTTGAGATAGTAAGGATAAACTTGATACTTACTCTCTTACAGCCGTGACTTATTTGTGGAAAACTTGAAAAATAAAGTAGAAAATAAACCAAAAAAACAACAAACAAATTAAGTGTTGCTGTTTTCCTGACCAATGGAGCCCGTCTCATCATTGTATGTATTTTCTGTTATTCAAAAAGAACATCAGAAAAATGCCTTTTTATTTTCCTGAATACCTCTTAATCCTCCCACATATGATTATACAAATATAATGCAACACAAAAGCGCTAATATAATTTTTTCAATTACTGGTACTAGATCAGATTTCAACAATAGTAAGAACACATAAGTATCCCTGTTTTAACCAAAGAAGGTCTGAGTTCAAAGGAAATTCTCTGAAATGGTCCAATGAAAGCCATGACCTTAACCCAATAATCTAATGGAAATGTTCTGGTGAGCTAAAAAAAAAAAAAAAGTCAGGCGATCATGTGAAGAAAACCGATCACACAGAGTTGAAGCTGAAGCTGTCCAGAAACAGAGGAAGAGAGGTGAAAACAACTCACAACTGAAAAGTGTTTGACTTTAGAAAAATGCAGTTAGGCTGAATATTCAAAAACAACAACCCTACAGCAACCTTATGGTTTATCAGGAAAAAAGAAACCAAGCAGACAGACAGGGAAAACAAGAATCAGGTTATATTAACAGACAGAGCATATTAAGAAACATAAATACTGAGAAGGATGACTAATCTGTCTAACCTGTTTGGAGAAACCACAGATCAACATCTAGTGCATGAAGTATTTTAAAGCTTTATGAATTTAGCACACAGTCTTTATTAAAGTCAGACAAAAGGGCATCCAATACAGAAAAACTTAGAAAATAAGAGAAACATGAGAATGTAGATGAAATAAAACAGTAAATGAATGTTATATGCATATTTTTTCCTCTTGGGCAAGGCAACTTTACTTTCATAATACTAATAACTCACAATTCAATCCAAATAGCTTTATATGACATCTATAATAATGAATAAAAGCAAAAAAAAATGACATTTACATGCTTAAAAGGAATCCTTAACAAATTGGTTATTAAGATGCTTGAATCAAAAGTTACAGTAAAAAATAGGTTTATGTATTTCAACAACGGAAGGAAGATTTTTTGCCCCCACTGTTTTTTTTCAGCTGCTCTGTTCCAGAACTGAGGAACAAAGAAATAGAATTAAATTCAGTTTATTTATTTAGCACCAATTAACCACACGCGCCACTTCAAGGCATGTCACAAAGACAGTTTAATCATATATAAATATTGGTTAAAGGTTTTATGCTTTATCTGAAAACACTATCTCACGTGAGTTAGTTCTGGTTTTGTGAACACAGCACTGGAACAACGATATAGAAATAAAAATGTCTTAAATTAAGTGTATTTATCCTTAATTTGAGTAGGTAAATTAGATAATTTGCCAATGGAGTGAGTATTTTTACTCTTAAAATTAGATAATTAGATAATATGCACCTGAAATAAGACAATATAATTGTGTTTTCCCATTTAAGTGTAAATTGTCTTGTTCCATGGGCAAAATGTCTCTTTTACCTCCTCAATCCAAGAACAAATGCACTTATTTGAAGAAAAAATGACATATCTAGATTTCGATTTTTCCTGTGTGTACCAGAACTCTGATCACCTGAGGAACTTAAGAGCATTGCATCGACAAGAGACCCCATATTATGGCTTTAGCTCATTATTTTATAAACTAAAACTTTTAAAATTCCTCCTTACAAACAGGGAGCCAGAGATTTAACATGTGACATGTACGATCTTCCTGTCTGGGACTCTGGCAGCAGCTTTTCAGATATGCTGAATCTTCCTGATTTCTTTTCTGAGACCAGTGAACACACAAATGCATTCATCTGTCTTATCAAAATAAAGGATTTTAACATTGTTTTCCTTTTATGAGACTGATAACTTAGATCAGAGCTACGCCCAGGTTCCCTTCAGACTCCTTGGTCTCTTTAGCAAGAGAGCTTCACATCTTATGCATCACATTTTTAGGGTTTACCAAAGAAAAAAAAACAAAAACAAAAAAATGCATGATTCTTTTACACATGTTAGTAATGATGGCATAGTTACATAATATTCACTTTATTGGTCTATAGTTTGACTGTATTTACTGTCATCTACTGGTCAACCAATGAAAGTTCACAAAATATAACACATAATTATATATGATGAAAATCAATCAGTGACATAATATTGTTTGAAGAGGTTTTATTGAGAGGAAGCTGGAATAAATTATTTGTTCATTAACAGGCATCACTGCCTATTTGTTTTTAACCAATACTGGGACTTTGTTGTTGTTAGAAATATTTTATCACCGATAAGTAAGAAAACTTTCATAGCTGTTTCTGAAGATCCGTCAACACTTTTTTGGAATTTCTTTTGGCAAATAAAGCAATATATTGTGTTAATTAATTCCATAGTGTGTATTCATACTTTTCTCATATTAATCCTAAATACTAGTGTTGTTACTAGTGATGCCATTTTTTGGCCCCAATACCTGACACCTGGCTGTGCAGTATGGGCCGATACCGATACCATCTGTTTTAAAGTGATGTGTGTGTGTATATATGAAGAACTGCATACTACTTGGATGTAAAATAATTGCCATCATGGTTTTGTTAAGCTGCTGCCTGCCTTTGTGAAGCAGGAAAAAGACTAATACAAAGTGAATCCAGTAGAACTTTTTATTGCCTACCTGGAATGGGTGACAATAGTTGAATAGACTTTTCGCTCCCAAAATAGTATCAGTGCCCTATTTGTTGGTACTCGCCGATACCGATACCACCATTTTAGTGCTGGATCGGTTAGGGGTGTAAATAATAATCGTTTTGTTGCAATATATCGATCCAACAGCCAATGATCTGATGCATTGACACGTCTTGCAAGAGTATCGATTCATGTTTTTTTTTTTCCATGTCTACTTTTATCCATTTGCTCCTGGACATAACTCTGACTGCTGTGCTGCGGAGGCGCTAAACCTATTTGCCCTCCTACCTCGCTTCTTTTAGCCACTACACTCTTTCCGCTTGCACACAAACACTTGCGTAAACACAGAGGCTTTATTATTTTTCAGTGATTGAGGTTTTCATAAGCCTAGGTGGAGTAAGACTTTTCTACTTCTGTTATTTACTGTTGTTTCTCAAATAAAATGCATAATAATATTACAACTTTCATTGATTTATATCAAATTTGACACATTGTCTAGCCTGTAAGGTAAAACAAACAAAAACAAACAAATTAATTGAACTGAATCGTATTGTGGTGTGTTCTTGAGTTTGGAAAGTAATCAAATCGTTGGGTCAGGAAATTGATACTGAATCGAATCACCATGATGGGTGTGATTTACACCCTTAGTATCGGTGCAACACTACTAAATACAGACTTTTTTTAAATTATTTTTTTATTATTATTTATTTTTTTATTTTATTTTTTATATATTTTTTACATTTTTTACTCATTAAATAAATAAATACAGAATTTGAAATTTGAAACATTTTTTTCATATTCAAGAAAGTTTTACCAAATTAGTTTAATATAGAATTTATCTCAGAAATGAAATGATTTGAACATATTAGATAAAACAATTAACCCAAAATAGAGATGGAGAAATATGACTAAATACAACAGAACATTTTATGTTTCTATATTGATTATCTTTTATGAGAAGAATATCTGAAAGGCAATATGAGGCTAGCAGTGAAAACACCCCGTTGCCATAGCAACCCCAAACCAAAACAAGCATAAGCATGAAACGGGATTTTTTTTTCTTTTAGTGCCATTTTGTTCCTTTTTTTTTTTTACTTTTAACGCAGTTTTAAAAAGTTTCAAAACATTCTGGAAAAATGTGGAAAGATATTTGTAAATAAAAAAATAAGAATTGTTTCCGACATGTTGATAAAGTTGATAAAGTATTCACTGGACGGGTAATCATATAACACTGTAATTATTACGCCCAGATGTTCCAAACGATTCAAGTGGAAGAAAAAAAAGAAAGAAAAAAGTTTTCCATCATTTTTTTTCTTTTTTCCATCCTCCACTTCGACGCCATGCCTTGATGTAACCTGAGTCCAGAAGGAAAGAGAGGCGGAAAAAAAGGAGAAAGTTTGCTGGAATGGTCCAGGAGGAACAAGATGGCTGTTCCTGGACAGAAAAACATCTTCGCTTTTTAACTTCAGGCCATTTCTCCTGTAAAGGAGCTCACTTTGCCTTTTATATTTAACTGCATGACTAACTTTTGGGGTTTTATTTTAATGCGAAATGTGTTGATTCTCTGACTCTGGTTCGAGTGAAGTCTCTAACGGTTCGGAAACAGTTTGTAGGACTGAAAAAGGCTTTTTTGTACATTTGAGTACATTTTCTTTAGGCTTCTTGTGCTTTCGGTGGATGGTTGTTCACATTCCCATGGTCGCCCATCGGAGCAGCTAGCCGGACCACCATGAGCTCCTCTCGGGTCAGACCCCAGAGCCAGGCGGGCAGGTCGCCCCGAGCAGCGGGCTCCAGTGAGGGGATAGAAATGGAGAACATCCAGCACCCAGACATGGCTCTGGGAGGAAACATCGGTGCACCGTCTCCACCATCCAGGCAGGCGTGGAGCCGAGACAACCCGGTGTTCGAGCCGGAGGAAGAAATCCTGGAGGCGGACTGGCCTCAGGCGAGTCCCGGGCGGAGGTCTGTGTCCACGGCCTCCAGCGGCAGCAGCAGCAGCGGCAGCGCCCACATCACCAGAGGGGGGCTGTACCCAACACCGACCCCCACCATCCATGGCCGGCAGCAGGACAGGCGGCAGCCCCGCAGCTGTTTGAAGCACATCCTCCAGAAAATCAGAAGTAAGTCAGGTTTATTAGACCATGAAGAATCAGCCTTCAGTAGAGGTTTAGAGAAAGAACTATTTATAGGGATATTTTGTTTCTAAAATACACTTATACAGAAGAGGATTAGGGCCCCTGAAAAAACTAAAGAAACATGTTTAGATTTTATTTCAGTATAAAGAAAGAAAGAAAAAAAAAATCTGAATTCTGACTTTTTTTCTCACAATTCTGACTAATCTCAGAATTCTGACTTTTTTCTCAAAATTTTTACTTTAATCTAAGAATTCTAACGTTTTTCCTCACAATTCTTACTTTAATCTTTGATTTTTGACTTTAAACTCAGAATTCTGACCTTTTTTTCTCACAATTCTGACTAATCTCAGAATTCTGATTTTTTTCTCAGAATTCTGACTCTAATCTCTGAATTCTGACGTTTTTCTCAGAATTCTGACCCCTTTTTCTCACAATTCTGACTAATCTCAGAATTCTGATTTTTTTTGTCACAATTCTGACTTTAATCTCAGAATTCTGACTTTCTCTTCACAATTTTGACTTTAATCTTTGATTTTTGACTTTAAACTCAGAATTCTGACCTTTTTTTCTCACAACTCTGACTAATCTCAGAATTCTGATTTTTTTCTCAGAATTCTGACTCTAATCTCTGAATTCTGACGTTTTTCTCAGAATTCTGACCCTTTTTTCCCACAATTCTGACTAATCTCAGAATTCTGACTTTCTCTTCACAATTTTGACTTTAATCTTTGTTTTTTGACTTTAACCTCAGAATTCTGACATTTTTCTCAGAATTCTTACATTTTTTTCACAATTCTGACTAATCTCAGAATTCTGACATTTTTCTCACAATTCTGACTTTAATCTCAGGCACAGAAAAGATGCCTAATTCCATAATTTTCCACCAATGTGTTACTGGCCATCCCAAACAACTCACATATTTGTCAGTGAAGCTGAGTGCTGCCAAATGGTTCTCATCTACATTAAGATCCAAAATCCTGAGATTAAAGTCAAAATTCTTCTTTCTCATAATATACTGAAATAATATACTGAAATAAAACCTAAAAATCAGTTAACTTTTTTATTGACTTTGTGCTGCTAGCAGCACTTTTAAATTCTCAGAGGAATGTTAAACATCTGGTTCTATATGCTGCTATAAAGTTCATTAGCCTACATAAGCCTCTCCGGTCTACCATGCTTATTGCTAGCATGTCTTTTTCTATCATGTTGCGAGCATTTTGTGTAGTGCTCTTTTCTATCTTCACATCCTCACTTTCCTAGCATAGCAGAGAAGTCGTGCTGCTCCTCCATGCAGCGCAGTTGAATGGGAGCTATTTAGGTGATAACTTAAAGCTGGGCGTACACTGTACCATATTTTCACTTGTTGCACAAAGCTAAAGCTCAAACTGTACGACGAAACCGCAGGGTTTAAAAGTTCACAGCTCACCATGTATGTTCATACGCTGTACGGCCCTACGCTCTGATGCGATCTACCTGCTCACTCTGCACGTCCAAAAACCACACGTGGGACTGTGCGCCGAGAGATGGCAATGGTTGGACACGTCAAACTGGAAGAAGGAGATGAAGAACTCCCTTGTTTGCACATGCACGGTACTCGTGGTTCTGGTAAATCGGCTCTTAAAGGCTCTCAGCTCTGCTTCAACAGCAGGCTTTACTCAAAAACAACTCACAAATCTGACTGGAATTCAAACATGTTTGATTTTCTCCCGACCTCACGATTCCTGATCGGGGGATGGCCGTGAGAGGCTGATTGCCCCTTGTTACCCCCTGTACACCACACAACGCAGCACGCACGAGGAGGCTGAAACCCACTCCGATCGAAAAAATTCACGCACAACTGGAGAATCGGCCCGAAAAGAGCATTAAAAAACGTACAGTGTATGCCTGGGTTTAGGAGTTTATCCAGTATTTATATTTAGAAACAGAACCACATGTTTATTCTGCATCCTTGTCTCCATTTAACAGCGCAAACAATCATGACCAGACTGAATCCATTCATCTTTCTGCTCTAGCCCTCTAGTGGACAACTGTAACACTACAATACTAAAAAAAATTCCATTTAAGTGGACGCTATTATGATCAAATGGATTAAATCTTTAACTAATAAACCATTAATTGAAAATTAAAATACATTGTTAGTTTCGTTAGATCCCTAGTGTGCACAGAAAAGCACAATCTCTTTATCTGAATTAGAAGACCTCAGAGAAGGTGCATGGATGTAGTGAAGAGGATAAGAAACTAATAATGGCAGTGAAATGGACGGAGAAGAGCCATTGTGGGAAGCCCTAAATCTGGTTAATGATGCTATTATTACGTATAGAAATTACTTATTGTTTTGTGCTGATCCTATTAAGATCGTGGGGTTATTTTTGATAAAAATATCAGTATAAACGCTTGAACTGATTTATTTTTTTTTTACCTGTAAGCATGCTGTGTTTTTAAATGTTGAGATGATTTGTAATCTCCTCCTTTGCAGCTCTGTGGGGAACTGAGCTGATGGAGGACGGCGACAGCAGCAGAGAAAGGTACCTCAGAAACGTGTTGAGGGAGATGCTCACATATGTCGGGTTCCTCATCACTGTCTGCGTTCGTAAGTAAACATACAGAATCAAATTGTGCAAAGCTCAGTTTTATTTCCATCTGCAGAGATTCTTTAGTCCTTTTTTTTCTTGAATATGGTACCAACCCCTTAGCTCCCCCCACCAGCTATTTTCCAGCTTCAAGCCTAATGAGATTGGCAGGAATTCACCCAGATTCCAAAGGTTTTGATGAAGATGTAAATTCAACAATGGTTCAATTTAAAGTACCCAGTCTTACATGGTATTATTGCATGTTGTGTTAATAGAAGACTAACTTTAGAGTTCCTTTTTTTTGGCCTTTACTGCTGAAGAAAGCTCATGATGTGGTTTAGGGTGGATCAGGAAATCATTTTCTGGCAGACGACATCAGTGCAGAACGGGACAGCTTAGCTTCCCCGAACTTTGAAGGCAGCTATTAGACCTGCACTGCAGAGCTGAAATAAACTAAGATATTACATTCCCTCTTTGTCATTGTAAAGAAAAGACATAATAAAAATCTTTTGGAAATACAGTTTATAGGTGATTCAATCAAGATGAAGCAAAAATTGCTAAGTTGTGAATGAAAACGAAGCACACCCTTCTTGCTTAATGTTGAATCTGTTGGGTTTTTTTCACTGAAGGTTAAATTCAGAATATTTCCAAACCAAACAATCTTTACGCCAAAAAGCAAAATCTTCAAATTAAAGAAAGGATACTCTGCAGGGCTCGATGTTAACCATTGCCCGATCGCCCGGGGCAAGTAGTTTTTATTGTCGGGAGAGTACAAATTTCATTTCATTTGCCCGCTCGGCAAGTGCAATGATCGCAAAAAAAAATTTATTTATCACTCAAAATTACTTTAAAATCACCGACATTCGCTGAAAATGACCCACAAGCGTTGCAGGCGACATTTTTGTTGTTTTGTACACATTCTCACGTGATTTGAAAAAGCTGCGTGATTTTCCGCTAGATGGCGTGATTCAGCTCTTGGGGAGAGAATTCTGCAGAGCAGCAGCTGGATGATGAATTTAATCTAAACTATAATACACGCTAGATTAAAAATGATCAGTCAGGGATTAGGAAAATAATAACTGTATGCACACAGTGTAAATGTTTCTATCATATTGCAGTCTTCTGTACAGTGGTCATACATTAAAAAATTTTAATTAAAATTAATCAAATTTTTACTCCTATACATTGTAGTGGTGCATTTAAATGTTATAGAGTTAAACATGTTAAATTTGTGAGTAGTAGTAGTGTAAGTTTTTAACCTGTCAAGTTTTTTTTAGATTTTTAACATTACAATTTATATTTTTCCAAGCACACAACAGTTTAAAGCAAAGTTTATTGAAAAGAATGTGCAGGAAGGATTGAAAAGCATGTTAACACGGTAATGTAGGCTTGAGTTCATTGTCTGACGCATGCATATACACACCAGGAACCTGTACACTTAAAAAATACTGAATTACAAAAAACATTTAAAAAACAAACATGTTTCATTGATATATCTACAAAAATGAATATTAGGAACTATATTTATCAAACGTTATACTGGGCAAGTAAAAATAGTTTCTGGGCAAATGGTAAAAATCCTTAACGTCACCCCCTGCTCTGTTTTTATAATAGCTGTAAAGGGAAAAGAATCATTCAGTGCTACTTAGGGTGAGTTTGATTACATCTTGTAGTGAAAAAGGAATTTAAACCATCATTGTCTTTTTTTTTTTTCTGCAGTGACGTATGGGATGGTGAACTCTAACATGTACCATTACACCAAAGTTATGTCCCAGCTTTTCCTGGACACACCACTGTCTCCTGGGGAGCCAACTACATTTAGGAGCCTCTCCACCATGGAGGACTTCTGGAAGGTAAAATAGAGACAGATTGCCTTTATTACCGGAGCACTAATGTATAAACTCCACTTTCTGGTTTAATATGCATAAGAAAAAGTGTTATTTTGCCTTTACAGTTCACCCAGGGGCCCTTCCTCAGCGGCATGTACTGGGAGGTGTGGTACAACAACAAGAGCCTGCCTGAAAATCAGAGCTTCATCTACTATGAGAACCTTCTCCTCGGCGTACCGCGACTCCGGCAGGTCAAGGTTCGCAATGAGTCCTGCTCTGTCCACCAAGACCTGAGGGATGAGCTTCATGACTGCTATAACATATACACCCCCAGCAATGAGGACACCGCCCCCTTTGGTCCAAAGAATGGAACAGCGTCAGTTCATACATAACTAAGAATCGTAGCAAATGAGATGTTTAAAAGCATGGCTGCATCCTAAGTCTCTCTTTGTCTGGATGTTTGACAGGTGGGTGTACACTCCAGAGAGTGAGATGAACAGCAGCAGCCACTGGGGGCAGGTGTCGAAGTATGGAGGTGGAGGGTACTACCAGGACTTGTCCCGAACAAAGGAGGAGTCAGCTAACCATCTGCAGCTTCTCAAAGACAACTTGTGGCTGGACAGAGGCACCAGAGCAGTCTTCCTTGACTTCTCAGTCTACAACGGGAACATAAACCTTTTTTGCATTGCAAGGTAAAGGTCCTCACAGTGATGGTTTTGCTCAGTTTATACTGCGAGCCTTGCAGACTCCGATAACATGCTTACGTCAGAAGAGGAGGAGGAGCTAATTTAGCAGGTAGCTTTTAGATAAACAAAAGAAGATTTTAAGCTTGATTGTTAGGTGGTTTCCCTACTAACTACTACCAGACTTCATAAGCAACAATGCTGTTGAGTGGCGAAGCTGGTCCAGAGGAAAGCATAATTAAAGTTGGTCTTTTTCCATGTCAGTGAGGAACAGAGATATAAGAAGCTATTTAACAGGGAAACTTTAATCTCCTCTACATATTTAAATATGGCTGCAATCCAGTTAGACAGTAAGGCCCCGTCCACACGAAACCAAACCCTGGCCTAAACGCACAAATTTTTCACCAAACCAGCCTCTCATCCATACGAAGCCGGCGTTT